AAAAAAATTTTTATTTTAACAATTCTTTACTCACAAAATCAAAAAATAGTCCAATCCAAGATTTGTGTATTGAAAGATTTTGATAAAATTCTGGAGCTATTTTTGAAATCTAAGAAAAAATTTTGAAGAAAAAAATTTTAATTTATACTTTTGGTAAATTTTTTCCTGTAACATAAGGAAAATCGTGATGTTCAACATGATATCCGACATTAAATGTTACCAAATTTATTGCTCCATAATAACTATTAAAAATAAAATTTTGGAAAATAATTTTATTGGAATATTTTAGTGAAGAATTATCAGCAAGTAGCAAAATTGGAGATAAAAATTAACAGGTTTAAGAAGATTTAAAAAGTCTGTCCTTTTCCTTACAAAAGTAACGAAAAATTCCTAATCCTTTCCGCTTTCCTCATTTTTTCAAGAAAATCAAAAACCCTTTTTAATTAAAAATATTTTTTTAGAAAATTAAAAAAACCTATAAGTCTCCTGTCCAGCCTCAAATACATAATGATCACTAATAAAATGAGCTGCTAGAGGGTGAATACCTTAAAAATAATTTTTTAAAATTTAATTAATTTAAAAACCTAATCCAATTAAAAACCCTCCAATGAGGTAAATAAAAGATTTGTAGCCCATAAATTGAATTATTGCCAAATTAAATATTATTTGAATAAATCCATTGAGTAATTCAAAATCGAGAACTGACTAAAAATAAAAAAATAAATTTTGAAAAATTTTTTCAAAACCTTTTTATAAGTGCTGAGAGGTCTTAAACCATAAAATACAGGTTGTAAAATTAACCAAACAAATTTTCCAATTGGACCAACAAAAAATTTTGCCTCAAATTCTGTTGGAATATCCTAAAAAAATTTTTTAGAGTTTAAATTAAATTTATATAAAATTAAAGAACCGTGTCAACCACATCACTTCCCAAGTTTCTATGATGTTCCTAGAAAAAAATTTTTTTTGATAAGTTCTCATGTCAGACGTGAAGGGGAATAACACATTTTTCATTCAAAAACTATTAGAAAGTTTTTAAAAACAAACCAAATGATATTTTTTGAATGAAGTAGACATTGGAATACACATAGGTAAATTAGCAATAAAACCAAGAATACGGTTCTAAAAAATTATTTTTAATTAAAAAAAGAAAATAAAAACCTGCAAAATTTTCTCATGTCCAAAACCCAAATTATGTGACAATTCATGAACTGCTAACGTCAAAGAATGAGAGATTGTTCCTCCAACAATATAAGCTTGTAAACAAATTAAGAGCCAAGATGATTCTAAAATTTAATCAGGCTAGACTATCGCTTATGAACACATTGAAATTATTTAGTAATTTTCTTGTTTAAAAAATGCGTAATCCAAGGAAAACAATTTAATTGCTCAAAAGGTAGAATTATGACGTTTTCCCCGATTTTCAGAACTTTGAAAATCTAAAACCATAGGAGGTCCCACATATCTTCAAAAAAATCCCCAACCATCCTCAAATGCTATTTTTTTATAATTTAAAATTTTAAAGAAAACCTTTTAATAAATAAGCCATAAATATTTGAAATATAACCATTGAAACAACAACATATTTAAAACTTTCATCTACTCCAAAGCATTGTTTCACTTGGGGATATTTTTCAAGTATTTGTTTCCGACTAAAAAAATAAAATATTAGACGAATAAAAAAGTGAAAGACCAAAATTTGCAATAAATTTTTAAATAAGAAAGTTGGATAAATCATATCATATTCGAATTTTTCACCCCAAAATTGACTTTTACCACCGGTACAATAAACTACAGCCAAAAATATGCGGATTTCCGCATTAACCAACCATCTTAAACTTGCAATAAAGTAAGAAAAATTCAGAAAATGCTTATTGTTAGTAAAGGATAGACTCAAATCCCACCCAGAGTATCGGCATGTTAAAGTAGATATCCAAGGTGTTACCCCTTGAGGGCCCCCAACCTCACCAAGCTATCGATAAAATTACTCAAGATCACACTGCGTGCCCGATATCTAAATTACACCTAACACTATTTTTAAATTGCAAATTCTGAGTCACTCACATATCAAAACTAGGCTGACCGCGTAGCGTGAGGTTCCTGAGTATAAGACCATTCAAAGTTTGATGATGTTGTTTGGCCCATTTGTTTAATATATAAATTTTATTGTCAAATTTTAAAAAACTAGAAAATATTTTTTACTAAAAAATCGATCTTTTTTTCACCATTTTTAGATAAACAAAAATAAAGTATTTAAAAATGATAAATTACATGAAAATATAGGAGTATATAAATATTTACTCATTCACTCTGCTACTATTAAAATAAAAACAAACAAAAATGATTCATATTATTTATTTGAGGAATTAAAATAAATTTAAAAAAAATTTTTTAACTCCCCCAATTTTCCAAAAAATAACAAAAAAAACCTAAAAATTTCACATTATATTATGAAGAGGATCAAGTCTCCAACTAGCTAATTCTTCAAGTTCTTTTTCATCATCATCTTCCTTTTTTGGTTTTTTCTTTGGTTTCTTTTCAACCTTTAAAAAATTTGAGATAACAAAAAACAGCTCCTAGAAAGGCACGAAATCAAATTTGCCGCCTACTTCCGGCAGAAGTTGCCTTGCTATTACACCAACCCATCATTTCGCAAACCCCTCATTTTTTAATTAGGGTTGTCATGACCGTATTCGGATCTTCAACTTCTTGAGTAAAAATAAAATTTTTAAACCAGACCTTTCTAATTTCGACTTCTGTTGGAACAGGTAACCATTCATTAATATTAATTGAATAAAAAGTTTTTCCAGGTAAGGTCATCAAAGCGGCTCTATTAATAAATGGCCCCAATGCTGGATTTCTTTGTTGACATAAAGTTGAAATTATCGTTATAATATTTGCCTCAATTTCTTCATCAGGCATATCAAGCTGTGAATTTTTAAAATAAAATTTTAAAATATTTAGAAAATTATTTTTATCAGGACAATTTTGAACTTTGCGAAAACCAACACTAAAGTCAAATCCTAAACAAAAGTTTCGGCGCTGGTCTAGTTTATGCGTCCAATTAACTTTTATGAGCAACAATAGTTACAAAAAAATTTGCGCTCGAAATGTCAAAGTAAACGCCGTTAACATGCTCCCATGTTTCAGCCAATAGGTTCGACGTTTGTTCGTAAATGTCTGACAGCCATAGAAATTTGATTGGATATTTTAAAAATTAAAAGTAAACCCTTCCAACAACAGGTTCAGCTAATCCCCATTCCGCATAAGCAGCATTCGGTTTCACAACCAAATTTGAACCAGAAAGGAATTTTTCCAATATTGCAGGCAAATCACTACCAATTCCACCTACAAAAAATTATTTATTTAAAAATTAAAAAAAACCAGACAAACCATTAATTCTATTTGGAAACCTTGACTTTAACACTCCTCTCAAAGGTAAAATTTCTTTTGCCATACCTTCATGTGCCACACAAAAATCATAATCTTCAATCAAAAATTGGCCTTTTAAAATCTGAAATGATATAGAAAATATAAAAAACTGACAAGGAACCATATCGAACTGTCAGGAAAAATTTTCAAATAAAAATTATACCATCGTGTAGAAACTTTTCGAAATGGGGGTTATGGCCAAAAAAGAAAAAATACGTATTAGGTTTTTTTCCATGCTCTACACGATGGTATAATTTTTATTTGAAAATTTTTCCTGACAGTTCAATATGGTTCCTTGTGAGTTCTTTATATAAACATTGTAAAGATAAAGAAAATAATCCAAAAAGGAAATTAAAGAACTTTCACCTAGAGCAGTCCAAACGGATCCAATCTATAAATAAAAAACCTTTTTAATTGAATCAGGGCCAAGTGCCAACTCAGCACCAGCCATTAAAGCTTCATCTTGCAATTCTTTATTAGGTGCAAAGGCAATTATTGCTCTCTTTTCTTGATGTTTAAAAGGAAAAGGAATGGCAACCAACTGACGAGAGGCTCCAATTAATTTAGTCTAAAAATTATTGATGAAAAAGGTTTGAAGTAGGAGTGGACCCAGATCAATGACCCTGAACTTTTCTATGTCAACAGGTACCCTATTTTAATAATTTCCCAATAATCGCAAGGCAATGGACTCCCTCTTTAGGAAATGATTCAGGACCGAGATATAAGTGCTGAAACAAGTAAGACAATTTTGGGGTGAAAATCATCCCTCCTTTATATATAAAAATTTCTACACCGCTTTTTCAGTAGTCATATTCAATTCCATTCTAAGTTTTATAGGAGCATCTACTTTTCCATAAATTGAAGGTGATTGCAAATTTCGATGAAATTCCTTTAAAAAATTTTTAATAAAAATTTTCAAAAAAAACCAAGGCTTCCGAGATTGTGTGAAATATTGTTTTGACCTCATTTTTGAAAAAAATATTAAATTGAGAAACTTCAGGCAAGTCTTTTTCAACTTCGGCATCGTATCTTGGTGGCCACATTGCAGCAAATTTACTATAAAAATTTGATAACATTTTTGCTTATTTTCGTTTTAATAAAGTTTGTTAAAAGTCTGGAAAAATTTTCCCATCAAAAACTCTACTTCATCGAAAAAAACTCGGACCCCCTCCCTAAAACTAATTTTAAATCCCCAAAAAACAAACGTTTTTTTCAATTCCTCCAAACGTCTCTTTTGCGATTCTTCCAATTTTTCAGCATCTTTCTTCTCTTTACGTTGTAAACGTGCCAACCGCTCAGCTTTTGATGGTTTTCTACGCCCTCTTTTACGACCACGAATAAATTCAAAATTTAAATTTAATGGACTTAAAAGTGATGGTAAACATTTTGTTGAAGTTTTGTAGAGAATTGGTAAAGAAGTTAATTGGCCAAAAAACATTTTTAAAATTTTTTTGAAATCTGATTAAAAAGGAAAAAGAAAAAAAGATTAAATCAAAAATGATAAAAATATAAAAAAGATTTAACAATTAATTTAAAAAACAATAGTCAGTCCAGTTTATGAATTAAAAGAGGAATTACGAGGCTCAATGGAACTATGAGTTGAAGTTTTGTGAGTTTCAATGGCCCTTTCTGATAAAAATTTTGTTTGAGGTCATTTAGGTCAATTGGACCCATAAATTATCAACAAGCTGATAAAAATTTATTGACCTCATAAAGCTTCATTAACCTCATAAAAGCTTCCCTGAACTCATAAACTAGACCAAAAACAAAATTTAAACTAAAATCCTTCATTTTCTACTTAATATTAAAATATTGATACAAAAAAGCATATAATAAGCATAATAAAAAAGGAGATTTAAAGAGGATTATGGGAGAAGGAATAAATTTAAAATTCCCATAAAAAAATTTTTTTAGACTAAAAAATTTCAAAAAAGCTAATTTCTAAATTTCTTAAGAAAAAAATTTTGACAGAAAAATATATTTATACACTTTTATGAGTTTATATAGATAAGCATGTGACCATGAACATAGAGAAAAACAAAAAACCACAGGTTTATAATCAATTATTCCAAAGAGCTTTTAGACTACGGTTGGTCGATCCAGAAAAATCATAAGATATCCGAATTGATGTCCAACCCGTAATGTTCTCGGATCCAGATCCACCAACCCTACCCGAAACATTTTTTCCTAAAGTTTTTACCCAACCAGAGGTTAATTCTTAAAATTAGACACTGGTCACTAGCCTCTCAAAAATAATAAAACAACCATTTTTCATATACTCTTTCAAATTTTATCATCATGAAACCACCAACGAGTTTTATTTGGACTTTTATTGCATGTCCTCACATAAAAGGTATTATCTAAAAATTCGTTAAAATTTTCAAAAAAATTTTTGGAACTACTTCGTTATCCCTAGATGCTTTTTGTGGATAAGTTTTTCACACTTTACTTCTCTCCCCACGCTATTGTCAACCAACCAACGAGATTAAACTTAGAGTAGAAAATTCGTGTAGCAAAACTTTGTCCAGACAAAACTCCGACCGTTAAAATTCCGTTCAAAGGGAAAATTGTTGGATTTGGCGGTTAATTTAGAGGCCCAATATTCCTCCAAATCAACATATATTTTGATCGATCGGAGTTTTGTCTGGACAAAGTTTTGCGCTGACACGAATTTTTTTCTCTAAATAAAAGAAAGACACGAATTTTGTACACTAAATTTAATCTTGTTTGATTGATTGATTGACAACGACGTAAAGAAAGTAGAGGGAAAAATTTGTCTAAACTGTTAACGAAGTAGTACCAAAATTTTCACAGAAAAACCTGGTGGAAGCGCCTTTTCTTTACAAGAAGAAAGCATTGATTGAATTGAAAGACAAACAGAAGAAATACTTAGAGCCTTTAAAAAATAATCCTTTGGTAAAACTAACAATAAGAATATGCAGGCCCGTAACTAGGATTTTTTTTCGGGGGGGGGGGAAATTTTATTGCGCCAAATTTTTGGCGCCGAAGGCGCCAAAAATTTTTATTTTCAGCGCCGCAGGCGAAAATTTTTTGAATTTTAGAAGGTCGTAGGCCAAAAAAATTCACTCTTTCGGCGCCGCAGGCGCCAAAATTTTGATTTTCAGCGCCGCAGGCGAAAATTTTTTGGATTTTGGACCTTAAAAAGCCAGATTTCTTACTTTTTTAGCGCCGCAGGCGAAAATTTTTTAAATTTCAGAGGCCGTAGGCCAAAAAAATTCACTTTTTTTTGCCCCAGCCCTTCCCCAAATTTTTTCCTTTTTCCCATTTCGGGGGGGGGGGGGAATTCCCCCCCTCACCCCCCCCCTCGCTACGGGCCTGCTCAAAGGTTTTCGATTTTCAGTAGTTTTTATTTAGGCCAGAGGCGAAGACGAAAGCTCAAAAGCTCGCGCAAAACTCCCGCACTTCGCTCGAGGTTTTGCGGCATTTGACTCATCGAAGTCAAGTTTACACACAATAACATAGGCCTGTTCCTACTTGCAAATAAATGGGGGTGTATAATTTGACAGAATTTGCGAGTGGCCCGTATTCTTAAGTTTTTGTAAATTTTTAAATTTAAAATAAAAAACCGGTGTCCAATCATCGCTTAAAATACTCAAACAAATATGTCCATTTGAATAAACGTGTGGATGTACAGGAATATTTTCACCAATGAAAGTAACCTCAGGAGAAGAAAATGGATATTGATCATCAAATTTAAATTGAAGTTGAAAAACTTCGCCCTCATAAAGTGTGTTTCTTAAGAAAATTTTTCTAACATTTTTAATAAAATTAAAAAAAAATGCCTCGATCCTTCCAATGCAAGAGACAAACAACTAAGAGAATCACAATTTTCTTCTTGGAGTAAACGAACACCTGAAAAAAAATTTTTTTGTGGTTAATTTTTATGCTCTAATTTTTGGTTGAAGGAGTACACCCCCAAAGAAGTACACCCCCAAACTATTGCAGGCCAAGTCTACCTTGTCAGCCCTCAAATTTTTCACATGTCGAATCTAGGCAATTTAATCGATCTCTCTACGGAGATATTGTTGAGTATACACCCGAACTGACAACCACGACCTACCTCAGTCCCTTTTTTTCTCGTAAAAACACAAACTGCGATAGGAAAATCGGCTTTTCTGCCAGAGTAAAATGGCTTGCTCCCTCTGCCCCCCTCCCCAAAAACATCCAAAAATAAAACAAAAAACCTGCTGGTGGTTCAGTAACTAATTGGCTAAGTTCTTTAACTAATCTTCTTTTGCTTGCACTCATTTCTTAGAAATTTAAGAACAAATATAGACGAATTCCTTAAAAATTAAAAAATGAAGAGGAACCTTTAAATAATAATTAGAAAAATTTTCCAATAAGAAAAAGACTGTGACCAGACAAAAAAGAAAATATCGAGTTATCACATTTTGCCAAATCCTTGTTCTGCCAATGAGGGTAAAACCACGTTTTGCCAATAAACTTGTTGGCAAAACGTGGACTTTTAGCCTCAATGGCAAAATATGGATTGGCAGAATATGGAGGAGCTAAAATATATTTAATTTTTACATTATGCCAAAATACCCCCGTTTATTTAAATCAAAACTTTTAATTATTTATCCAGATTTCTAATCAACTTTTTAATTCCCTACTAATTTAATAAAATAATCCATATACTCTTTGCCATTTTTTCCTTCAAAGATGAAACCAATTATTTGGTTTTTGCAATTTTTTTATGGACACACATATTAAAAATATATGTATAAATCTTTTTCTTCTTCCTCTTTCTATATAAAACACAACTGGATTAATTTTTTTGATTGAGTGGTTATTCTTTTATTTCTTCCTCCAAAAGTCACTTATGCAATATTTATTTGGATCGCGCAACAACAAACACCATTAAAATAACTTGTGTGTTATAAAACCTGCTCTATATTATAGCGCTTTATGTAAAAAATAAGAATCTTCTTCCTCTAGAGCAATTTTTATAGAGACGAAAAATTTTTGCCCAAACAGGCTTGCGGATAAAAAGTTTCTTTCGGCCTAATTTTTCGATAAAAATTTTCCCAAGCATTTTTCTGCAGAAACCTTGCGGACGAATTTTGCGGACAAAAAAACTTGTTCCCTTTGGTTGCGCACTTCTTTTTTCTGAAAAAAGTTGGATGAACAAAAATCAGAAACTAAAACCAGAATACTAAATAAAAATAAACTTCTTTATTAAAAAGCTGTTTTTCTTTTAAGCTTTTATATTCTTCCCCCAAAAATCCTCTTTTTATTTAATTGGAGAAGTCATATCTTCTTTAAAATAATTTGTATAAAAATCATTTTGCTTCCTTTTCCCCCTACACATAAATACTGCCCAATTTTTGTTTAGCCATTTTCTTCTAAAAATATACATATATTTATCTAAAATATACAGTTAACCTCTCACTTAAAGTTAAACCCTTTGGAATTATAAATTGTATCCTATAATGAGGGGTATCTCGCTTAGTCACAGCTTCCTCTCATCCAAGGGGCCAACTAAAAAACGTACCTTAAATAAATGTTATCTAGTATTGGGAGATCCTAGTGTATATAGAATGTGGTCATCGCTATAGAACACTTACTAGGGGTTTGCCCTATTTGTCTAATGGTATTTTGTCGTATTTTCCCATAGAAACATTTGTCATATTTTCCCTGTGGTAACATTTTGTCGTTTTTCTACCATACATTTGTCTCTCCTAAATTCCAACTTTACCCTCTCTATCTTTTTAAAATAAAAAATAATCTTGCGCAACCGCCCCACAACCTTATAGCCTAAATAGCTCCCCTTCCTTACCCATGCGCAAAAATAAAAAAACCAGTCTTTTATTTATAAGGCCCAAAAAATTTTTTCCGCGCTCTCCTTTTGGGGGGTTCTTTTCTTTATTTTTTGTTTTGTGTGTTTCTTTTAACGTTTTATTTATACACGCCTTTCCGGGGAAGAAGAAGAAATAAAGACTTGTTTCTTCCCTTCCCTCCTTCTAAAAATTTTCTTCTTTATTTTTACACGTAAAGAAAAAGGTTAAAATTATTTAAAAGACAAAACCGCCACTAAATTTTTATTTAAAAAGACTACCTAAATTTTATTTTTAATGAATGACCTACAGTCGTGGAAAAAAGTATGGAAGCGCTAGAAAATTTTTTCTTAATTTTTAATTTTTCATTCAAAAAATACGTTTTATATATCAATCGAAAGCTCTATTCGTATCTCAGTTGACATGTTCCTGCATTTTTCATGAAAATGAAAATTGGCCGAGATAATCCGGATCTGCCGGATATACCAAATCCCATTTTTTCGGAAAAATTTTTCGGAAGAAATTTAACAATCCCATTTGATAAAGCATATTTTTTTGAGTATTTTCCACAAAACCGCTTAAAAATATCTTTTTCCGGAACAGAGATATGATTTTTTAAAAATCGCATTTTTCCCTTAAAAATCGAATTTTTTGCAAAAAATGACCAAAAATGCGATTTTTAAAAAATCATATCTCTGTTCCGGAAAAAGATATTTCTAAGCGGTTTTGTGGAAAATACTCAGAAAAATATGCTTTATCAAATGGGTTTGTTAAATTTCTTCCGAAAAATTTTTCCGAAAAAATGGGATTTGGTATATCCGGCAGATCCGGATTATCTCGGCCAATTTTCATTTTCATGAAAAATGCAGAAACATGTCAACTGAGATACGAATAGAGCTTTCGATTGGTATATAGAACGTATTTTTTGAATTAAAAATTAAGAATTTAAAAAACTTTTTCTAGCGCTTCCATACTTTTTTCCACGACCGTATATTTTATTGGCTCCTCTAGACGTTTTAATAAAACGTTTATTTAAAAAAGAGAAAAAAAATTTTATTAAAAAAGGCAAATTTAATTAATTTTCTTAACAACCAGAAAAGTGCCATATGTTCAGGCTGAAGCGTTTTGGAATATTCTACGCCAATTTTAAAAAAACAGAGCAATATTGCACTCGTTTCGGCCTGAGCTTTGGTATTTCTTTCATTTTTTTAAAATGTTTACTCTCGTGGTGTAGTGGTTAATATCCCTGACTCATACTTGCTAGGTGACCAAGGTTCGATACCTCACCATTCAAAAATGGGATGGCAATCAAGTTTTTTGCTAGGGATTGCCTTGCCAAATTTTTAAAAGTGCCGCAAGGCGGAAAAATCCACCTACACCCCCTACCTTTCCCCCATGTTTTGTAATCAATCAAAATGTAATCAAATTGAGAAAAAACTTTTATTTTGTAACCAAATTTGGGTTGTGTAGTAAATGAATCATCAAATGGCAGAAGAAAAAATTTTTTTAAGTAATAAAATGTTAATAAATATTAGATTAAGAAAAGCGCCAGAAAAATTTTTGTAAGTAAAAAAATATTTTGTTAGATGAAAATTTTTTTGCGAGGATTAGAACGTTTTAGAATAGCTCCGACTTTAGCGAGCATTTTTTTGTTTTTCGATTAATTCCCATATGTTGAACAGTAAAATCGTTATTATTCTAGAACGTCCCTCTTCCACATTTTTTAGACTTGACTCGACAAAAAAATGTCAAAAAAAATATGTACATCAGAGATCCTGCCAACATAAAAAAATCAATCCCGATTTTGGGAATAGGGAATTTCCGAGAAAATATTAATTAATAATTTCGGAAATCCCCGCCCTAAAAAACGTCGGAAATTTCCTATTTTCGGGAAATGATATGGCAGGATCGCTGCTGTGTATACCAGGGATGTCACAGGTCGAGAAAAAAATTGGACGGGTTTCGAATCTTCAAAATTTTCTTCGGATCGGTTTTCGGGTCGAGAACAAGCCCGTGTTTCGGTAACCCGGACATCCCTAGTAACACTAGAGTAACACTCAAAAATCAAGCAAAAATATATTTTTGTGATACTCTAATATAGAAGCAAAAACATTTTTGAATCATAGAAAAAAATTTTAGAAAAGAAAAATTTTTGGAGGTACTTTTTAAATTGAAAAGAGAAAGGCAAAAAATTAAGTATTGAAAATTAGGCAATTTTTATACAAAATTTGGCATTTTTAGTCTCAGCTTTTTTCGCGTTTTTTAAACTAGAAAATTGACGAAATTTAAAAAAATTTATGGATTAAAAAATTCCGACAAATAATCTAGATTAGAGAGAAAGATTCAAAAAAAACATAAAATAGAGAAAAAAATAAGAAAACAAATGAAAATCCCTCAAGAAACCTTAAAATCTGTTCAAAAGCGCTGCCGTGGTTTAGTGGTTAACACGCCTGACTTGTATTTTTTAAGATAATCCAGATTCGATACCTGGCGGAAGTTAAACAGTTTTTGAATAACACTTAAAAAATTAGGTGTCACTCTTTAAAGATGGGGAACTGCCAATTTTATAAGGCCCCCCCTTTCAATAAACGGACCCCTAAAAATATTTGCGATTGTATGATAGCGACCAATTAATTTCTTTATTTTTCACAAATAACAGATATGAAGATCAAAAAAGGGTTTAACATAGATAATGCGTTTTTGGGAAGAAATAAATAAAAATAAAATGATGAAATGCTTTCTAAATACCAAAAACAAAATAAAAGGAGGAGAAAGATTTTTAAACATAAATAAACTCAAATATTTAATGAGAGATTTTTTAATTAAAAAAGGGTTTTTAAGAGAAATATATTCATTGCTGAAAATTTTCTTAATTCAAAAAAATTTTCCAAAAATTTTTTAAAGCAACCCAATGCCTTCTATTTCAGTCTATGTTTTCCATGAGTATGTTTCAAAAATTTCAAACTCTTCATGGAAAGCATAAACTCGAGAATAGTCAAAAATAATTTCTCAATATAGAAAATTTTCAAAAAAAATCCGAAAAATTTTAAAAATTTTCAGAAAATTTTCAATTAATTTTTAAAGTAAGGCTTTAATAATTTTTAAAATTCATCTTCATTATTGAAGACCTGCTCAAATTGTTGAGGTGTTGTAGATTTAATAATTGTTGGGGTTGGAGTAGTTGCTTTAATTTTTGGGGAAATTGTTTTTGAAGTTGAAATAGTTGCTGTCTTTTTATTTATTAAATTATTAAAATATTCATTCCAAACAAATTCTGATACATTTTTGAATTTAATCCAAACTTCTCTTTTTTAAATATTTTAATTATATTAAATATTTTATTTAAATAAAAGTTGCGCAAATTTTATCCAGAAATAGCACAATTTACTGTGAGAGATTCGAACCTCCACTTATTTCTATTAGAAATCCAAAAAATATCCCCCATTACACCAAAAAGTACAAATTTATCGGGAAATAACCAATTTTATTTATTTCAACATTTACGAATTATTTTCCCCACGAGGGATTCGAACCTCCGTCCATTCTATTATAAATCCAAAAAGTATCCCACTACACTAAGATGTGAATTTTTTCTTAGTGCTTTATACCAAAGCAGGTTTAATGTGCTTTTTTCCTGTAAAGTAAAAAAACGTCAGGAAGAATAACAAATTTTTGAAAAACTTGCGGACAGAATTTGCGGACTTTTTTATATAATTTTTTAAACAATTAAAGAAAAAAGAGGTTTATTTAAACCACACCTCTTTCTTCTTTTTGTAATCACCCAAATATGTGTCGCTGTTGCTCGTACTGCTCTTTAACAAATTCAACAAATTGTTTATTTAATTGAATTAATTGATTGTTGAATTTATAGAATATTCCAATTAATAAAAGAAGAAAAAATAAAATGAATAGTAAACGCCAATTAGCTTTGGCTTTGTTGAAAATTGAAAATGTTGACTGAAAATTGAGAAATATTTAAAATTGTGGGGGGAATCGTGTGAATGCTAAAAATGCTCCGATCCGTTCTTCGAGGAATTTTATTCGGAGGAATGGAATCGATTCAAATAAAAAATAAAACCTTTTTAACACAATTTCCAAATTTTCCCAATTGTCGACAGACTGCACTATTCTTTATCTGCTCATAATATGTCCCCCTTCTTTTCAAAGTTTTTCTTGCCTGCGGTGAATGTGTAAGTCCTCTTTGATTATTATTATTTGCTAATGCAGCAGCAGTACGTGAACGAAGTAATGGTGGTGAAATTGAACCACGCAAAGCAAATGGAAGTGGAGAAGCTGTAGCTGGACGAGCTGCTCCTTTAAAAATAGTGAATATTTGTGGGTTATTCTCATAATGGTCAAATCCTTTCTATTGAACAGAGGGCCCTGAAAAAGCCCTGGAAATTCAAAAAATGCTGGGCTCTGGACCCACAAACACCGAAAAATTTTCTTTCAAAAATTTTTACAAACCTCTGGTTGCCGTTAAAGTAGTTGTTTTAATTGTAGTTGAGCTACTATATGATTGTTGTGGAGGGCTCGGACGACTAAAAGTCTTTTCTTTTTTCTTGTTGGCACTCACAGCTGGCGGAGCAGTATTCACCTTTAAAGGAAATTTTAAATTTGCGGACAATGAAATTCAAAAAATGTTTGTGGGGTCTTGGTCAGACCCAAGCCAAGTGGGCTGAATAATGGAAACTTGCAAAAATAAGATATACCCAAAAAACCCCACCAATTCTTAATTTTTATTAATCATTTTAAAGATTTAAAACCTTTCGAGTTCGTGAAGTTGAACGAGTTTTGCGTGCCTTTTCTTTAGGAATTGATTTTTGTGGAGACTTTGACTTGCGCAATGATTGTGGTGATGAAAGCTTCTTCTTCTGCTGCTGTGTTGGAGGAGAAAATTTTTGTATTGTTGGCTTTGCCTTCCTACTCGCGCTTGTTGAACGCGAACTACGCTTTACTGGCCGACCACGAGAAGTTGATCTTGCACTTGGCTTAAATGGGAGTATTTTACTCTATAATAGTCAGACTTTAACTTAGCTCTTGTCAAGATTAGGCGTTCAATCATCCCTTTGTGCGTTCAAAGTAATTCTGGACACACAAGGGGGTTAATTGGATAGAGAAGGCCAACTTATAAGGGTGTGTTTGGAGGACACCCAATCTGTACAAGAGCCATTTACTTACCATTAATATAAAATAATAGCAACAAAAAGCTTGTTGTTGTAAAAAATACTTGAAAATAAATTTAAATATTTTTAACTAAATTTAATTAAAATATTTAAGCGGATTAAACAAAAAAAATTAAAAAAAAAGAAGCTAAAAACAAGATTTTATTAACACAATAAAGTCGCTTGGCTTCATTTTTTAACTAGCTAACAATAAAAAAGAAACGAATGGTCAGCGGCGTTAATACAGTTTAAGGAGAAAAATTGTGAAATGAATGTCAATAGAGTAAACCCCAAATAGTGGACATTAGGAGAAAATAAAGAGAACACCAAAGTAGTGGAGAGCAAAATTATTAACGCTCGAATGTCGGTTGCGGGTCAGTTGAGTCCTGGAATTTTATGACGAACCACCTTATGAGTCCCACAACTTAACTCATCCGAGTCATGAAGTTTGAGTTGAGTCTTGTAAATTGAGGACATATTAAATGAGTACACTAATTGATAATAAACAGTCAAAAAATGGTATATTTTTTATCGAAAGTAATTATAGAATATATTTTATTTTTACAACACTAATTATTAGGGATAGGATTTTTAGGTCATAAATAGGGTTGCCAAATGGACCGAAAGATCTATTTTGGCATTTTATACATATTTAGGTACCTATTTTAAGGTTTTTACAACCTAAAAATCCGATCATATAAATTTATTAATTAAAAAATACATATTTTTTTATTTTCTATTTAATCCTTTTTTCCAATTTTTTCTGACGTCGGTATAAGCAATGGATTATCAACAAAATCATCTCCATTAACCCAAATAAAGCCCATAAATAAAATAAATATTACAAACCAAAAGAATGAAGCACTTATATTATCTAAAAATTTTTTCTCGTTAAAATTTCACAAAAAATCTTCTTTTTTAAATAAAACCTGAGATCAAAATACATAAAAGTGTCATAGTCACAGAAAATATTGCTCCAGCAATTGCCGCTCCGTTACTGTCAAAATTAATTATTGAATGATCTGCTCTCTCAGGTAAACTATTTCTGTCGACTGTATAGTTGAGCAAAAATAAATTTAGGGCATCCTTTTTAAAAAATGAATTTTTTTTAATAAAAAAATTTTTTTAATTAGAGATAGGTTTACTGAGAAAATTCTGAGAAATCTGAGAAATTTTGAGAAAAATTTATCGTGGTGTAGTGGTTTAGGATTAAGATGACCCAGGTTCGATGCCTGCCGGCGATTATTGGGTTGCTTGAATGCCCGGAGAGGAAACCAGATTTTGCATTTATCTGTACCCCCGAGGCAGCAGAATTTTTAAACCAAAAAATCCTCCCACTAAAAAATAAAATTTTTTTAAACCTGTCTATAACCATCCGTAAAATTATTTTTAAAATAACGAGTCAAAGAATTATTCAAATCATTAACCATTCCACCAAAAGTTCGTTTTCCAACGCGTGTATAATCAGTCTGAAAAAGTTTTTTTAAATTTAATTTTTTTAATTTAAACCTTCAAAGCCCCAGTCCCAGCATATTGTTTACTACAAATATCACCATTATCTGCCCATACTTTAAAAATAAATAAAAATTAAAAAACGCCGAAAAGGAAAACCGACAATTTTTAAACGTATAAACAAATTCTGGCCAAGCATCAAAATTAAAAACTGATTCATTTATAATACCAAAATATTGAAGTTGAAAACTTTAAAAGAGAAAAAATTTTTGCGGACAAATTTTGCGGACAAGCGGAAAATTAAAGACTGATTTTTTATAAGTTTACTATCCTCTTTGATGTTGAAAATACAACCGAGGAGTGTATCTTAAATATAGTGGAATACCGCTTATTGTTAGGGAGGTCCCTTCACCCAATGGCTATCCCCTAATTTTAAAAAAAAATTAAAAATTGAAGGAGTATCTAGTTTTGTGGATATCTTATAGTAAAGTGTAAACTCCCGAGTCCCCTAAAAAATATTTTTATTTACCGAAGTGACTCAATCCCAATTAATGCTTGAACAACATTTGTACGATCCAAACAACTAAATAAACAAATTTAAATTAAAAAAAGAAACAAACTCCATGCAATTTGTACGTATAAAACCATTTTGATATTGCCTATTTTCTGGATTAGCCTCAATCCAAAAATCACCTTGTATTGATAAATGAGTTGAGAAAAATCTTTAAAAAAATAAAAATTAATTAAATTGGAAGGATAGTCAAAAGTATTATACTAGTTTTGCGAACATTTTTTGTCCGCAAATTAAACAACTTATAAAAATTTACCCAAATTGTCGAATATCAGGCATAATTTCTTCTTTTAAATAGGATAATCTTTTCCAGTTTAACGACTGACAATGCCGATGAAAGTCAAATGCAATATATTTTACACTTGGAATTCTTATTTTTTCGACAACTGAACGAAATTGTGAGCCAACATTCTTCTCTCTTCCATATTGATTTAAAAGGCTTAGAAGAAGCTTGAAAAGAATTATTTAAAAAATTTTACGAAAATTTTTGCGGACTTTTTTCATACAAGACAATGCTTTTGAAACCGGCATCGATAAACCCATAAAGATTTTGGCTAGAACAGACCCCTCTTGCCAACCAGGGATGTCACGGGTTACCCGAAACCCGATACCCGAAACCCGGCCTTTTTTTCGACCCGATACCCGAAACCCGATCCGAGAAATTTTCTAAAACCCGACCCGAAACCCGACCCGAGAATTTTTATTTTTCAAAACCCGATCCGAAACCCGACCCGAGTTTTCTCAAAATTTTCGCCCACGTCGCAGAAAAAGGGAAGATTTTTAGCTTAATGATCTTCCAAAATTCTGAAAATTTTCGCCTGCGGCGCTGAAAAAGGAAGAAATCTGGCTTCGGACCTTCAAGAATTCTCAAAATTTTCGCCTGCGGCGCTGAGAAGGGAAGATTTTTGGCTTTTTGGCCTTCCAAAATTCTCAAAATTTTGGCTTTTTTTCGACCCGAAACCCGATCCGAAGAAAATTTTGAAAACCCGATCCGAAACCCGACCCGACTTTTTGTTCAACCCGAAACCCGATCCGAGAAAAATTTTGGAAACCCGATCCGAAACCCGACCCGACATTTTTCTCAACCCGTGACATCCCTGTTGCCAACATGAAAAAAAGTCTTACAGAAAATAAAAATTTTTACAATTTTTCTAGGATTTCCAGTCAAAGCATCTCTTCCATAACAATCCAATAAATTATTCAAATGTTGTTTAAAACAATTAAATTGTTCATCAGCGCTAGATTTCAAACTTGGTGTCGGTTGCCATTTAAGATTTGGTTTTTGAGTCCAATAAAGTGGAATTGAACCTCGAATCTTATTTTTAAAAAATTTCTAAATTTATATTAAACTTTTAGGGAATCACAAATCCGATACCTAGTGGGCAGTTATTGGGAGTTTTAACCTTTTTTTTAAAACGAGGGACATTTAAATTCGATTTTTTCAATTTAAAAATTTAATAAAAAAACAAACTTGAATAAAGGAAGCAATATGTCTAGAAGTAACCACTTTTTTATTATTAGTAGAAGAATTAGAAGACTTCCCTCCAACATCAAATTCTACTAATTGTTCAGTTTCCACAAAATTTGCACAATTTCCTTCTGAATCAGCACCACGAGTGTGAAAACGAACTCCGGGCCTTTAAAAACAAATTTTTTAAAATTCTTTCTAATTTAAAAAACCTGTAAACTGATCTCCTAGAAATTAATGCCAAATTAAATGATAAATTGTTTACACGACAACGACGTATTCCAACAAATCCGTGAATTAGAGGTTGAATAAACTTGGAGAACTATTTAGAAAAAAATATTAATCGTTATGTAAAATTTAAAGAATATAAAGTTTTTATCAGTGGAAATATATAAGGCCTAAAATTTGTCCAAATATTTCAAAAAGTAATATACATAAAAACCTCTCGAATTTGATCTAATAACAGGAAAAATTACTGTTACGGGATCCCTCAGAGCAATTCTACATTTTCACAAGATAAAATTCAAATAAAAAATTATAAAAAAACCTCAACAGTATCAAATTTTTCACTCAATTTTGCATTCCAAACAAATTTCTTATCAACTTTTTGAAGTAAAGGTAATGAATGTAATTCTGGAGAAGCATTTTCACTTAACCATTGAAATGAACGTGAAATGTCCATTCCAATTGAATAATAAAAATTTTCGGTAGAAAGAACATTTTTTAACATTTCAACAAAATTTTGATTAATTCTTCTCTAAAAAACAACAAAAAGGTTTTTTTTGAAGTTATGGAAAAGGAAAGCAATTATAAGGTAAAAGTTTAGCCCAGAGCAAGCATCGAACCTGCGACCTCTTCTAGCAGTTCGTTCTACTCACGTTAAAGGAGTGACAAGAGCTCCCTCGGCGTTAGTCTAGTCATGAAAAATTCTTCCGAAATTAGATAGCACAACGAAATTAAATATGTACAAAATCGGGGTTCAGATTTTAAAAAATTGCTCGAGACAAATTCCGAATCAAAAAGAGTCCGAGAATCACTAATCCATCATATCACTAATACATACCCCGGGGTTCCTATTTCAATAGAGTTCAAAGTTTTCAACAATTTTGTTTAAAAATAAGAACCTTAAAATACCCTTCTCCACAAGAAAAATACAAAAAGACATTCTTTAAATCAAACAAACCTCCCTTTCAGAAAGATGCAAATTCGAAGATTTGAATGGAACCAATTCCGCTTCGACAACTTTGAAAATCTCAGCATCATTAAACATACCAATACTTGTTGCCGACTTTATAAAAATTAAATATGGGCCAGAAACTAATTCAACAATTCCAACAAGTCCATTAATACGCTCAACTTTAATTGCTTGATGACTAGATTGAAGTGGCTGTTGTCTACTTGTTATTTCTATTTTTGAAATAAAAAAGTTGAGAAAAAAATTTTTTTTAATAGGCTGGTATTAATCCTGCCGCAATGCATCCTGCGACTTCAAGGAAGAGCTAGAGACCTTCTTCCTTAGAGATATAATGTTTGAAGGTCCCATTTATGCCATGAATTTAACTCATTGTCAGCTCAATAATCTCATTCTAATGAGCTATAATTTGCATATTCGAATTTTTCGATCAAAAGTGAGCCTATGGTTTTCCAATTTTCAAAAAACTCACTCAAATTGACGTCATTTGAATATCGATCAATCTCTAATGATCCTTCACCAAGCACTGGCTCAACAACAAATTTGTCAGGAAACTGGTAACTTAAAATTTTTTAAAATTAATTTTAAAATTAAAAAAATCCAACAGATTAAATTGCCCTGGTGCATGATCTATCGCTATTCTATCCATTTTTCTAAAGAAAAAATAAAATTATGTTGAATAAAAAACAAAAATATTAAAAGATGTAGAATCTAAATACAAACTTCGAAAAAATATTTTTTTATAAATTAAAAACAACAACATTTAATATTTAGAATAAAATACATTTAAACACCAAAAGAACAACAGAAAATTAAAATAAAAGATTTGGGACGAGTCCAAAATTGAAAGAAAACAATGCGCAGTTCAACCCATTCCAACTTGATAGCGAGGGATTGACCATTTTCGGAATAAAATGAAGTATTGACTCAAAAACAAATAAAAACTAGAGACCGGAATTTGAAAAAACCGGGACGGGAAATTGTTGCAGAAGGAACCCGGCCGGGACCCGGACACCGGGGATTCCCGATCACGGTTTCATCCCGGCATCTGCAAAAAAGCCGGTAAAAAGGACCGGGAAAACGGGACAGGATCCCGTTCCGGTCTCTAATAAAAACAATTAAATATAAGATTAGAGTTTGAAAGAAAAGAAAATTTATTTTTGGAGTATATCGCTTTTTATGGACAGAAATTTTTTGCGGATTAAGAAACTCCGGTTTTGTAGCATTCAATCTGTTCTTCCAATTAGTTGTAGCTACTAAAAAATTTTCTATTTAATGAAAAATTTTTTTTGCAAAAAAATTAAAAATATATAGATAGATATTTGCGGACATAAATTTTTGCGGACACTAATAAAATTAGACATTTGCAGAAAGCTTTTGATTTTTAAATGTAATCTATCACAAAATAATTATTAAAAACATTAATTAATAATATAGGGTGCACATTACTCTCCAATTTATTTATTTCAATTTGAAAAAGCTTCTCCGCAAAAAATGTCCGCAAAAATGTCAATGAAGCCTTTTAGTTTCAAAATTATTCTTCTTTATTTACTTACCATTATTTTTTTATTATTTCGAATAGGCTCAAAGTAAAATGCATCTAATTGTTCAACAAGAAAAGCTTTCAAATCAGCAGGATGTAAATTTAATGATAAAAACAAAGATTCAAGTTCTTGGTAATTTTTAACAATTAAATTCCCCCCATTTTCTGCTGATCTTTTAATTGTCAGCTCTGAAAAATAAAAAAAAAATTTTAAAGAGGCTGATGTGAGAACCGAAAATAAGGTAAATGTCCACGCTTCGTATTTTATTTTATTTAAAAAAATTAAAAAATAAGGAACTATCGAAATTTACTAATTTCTAGTTTAAAATAAGGCTAACCGAACAAGGAATTGAAGACCGGGGTCAAAAACCAGAAATAACCCAAAATCGTAGGTATGTAGCTCTGTTAATACCCCCTTATTTTTTGTTTCTAGTTAAAAAAAAGAACCTTTAAATTCTGCTCCACCAAAAATATTTTTTTCCTTCCATTTCAAATATTCAGCAAAAGGAAAAACAATTTTTCTACACAATTCTAAAGCAACATTCTTATCCAAATTTCCTGGTTCACAAAAAGATTTTCCAATTTTTTGTCGAATTTTTTTCAATCCATCGTTGATATTTAAATGAAAATCCGGCTTTGTAGCACTCATTCTAAGGCCATCTGTTCCAATTATTTCTGGCTAATTAAAAAATTTTTTATTTAATTAAATACAAAAAAATGTAGTGGGGAGGGGGGGGGGGGGGAATTTAGGTTTGAGAAGGTAACAGAGAAATTGAAAATGCCTGGTGCTTACTTTTTGAAAAACTTTTGTGTTTTCAACACCTAACACTCTTGACAATTACCCTAAAAGCTGTTTTTGTTCCAATTTCTTCGGTTTTATCTGCAATATTTACTAAAAACAAACCAAAATAAGAAAAGCCGGCATGTTTGTGTCCTCTCGTTTTAATTCTTTATTAATCTAAATAATTTCTTTTTTCAAAAAAAAATAAAAAAAAGAAAACCTTTAAAGCTAAATCTGCAAATTCTTTTTGATTTGGACCAATTAAAACCTAAAAATTAAATTAAAAATAGTTTTTACTTACAATTATGTTGAAACATAAATAATTAGCCCCCTAGTTAAAAATTCATTTATTACTTAACCGATTTATCTAATTTCTTTTTTATTTTTATCAATTAAGATGTTAGTTATATTTGTAGAAATTTCGTTCTTTGATTCTTATTTTTTGCCAGAAAATAGGCAATCACAAAAAAAATAGGCAATCACCAGAAAATAGGCAATCTTACAATCACAAAAAATATAATTAACCTTGTTGAATTTTAGTTGTCTCAAGGGGGGGGGGGAGCTATTTATTTATGTTTCAACCTATTTCTCTTTACAATGTCATAATTTCCATAAAATATATCCAAAGCAAAATATATTGGACAAAGATGACATCCAACAGTATTTGCTTCCGGAATTAGTGACGTTTGATCCCTTGTTACAACACTGACAGCCTGATACATTTTTAGAGTAAAATCACTATAAATAACGGATTCTTTTAAATTTTAAGAAAAAGGAGGGGACAAAAGAGAGGTAAAAAGTGGTACTTCTTTGTTATACTGTACTGACTTTAAAATTTTAGCTTTTCGAAATTCTTGTTGAATGAGGAAAAAAGCGGCCGAAAACTCATCCCAGAAAATGCTTATTTGCTAGGCTGGGGGAAAAAAATTTCAAAGGGCTTACAATAGAAGGTAAATTTAATAAGAAATTATGCTGTAAAATATAGACAATCAGGCAATAATTAGACTGACTGGTTTTTGACTAATTTTGAGTTTAAAAAAGAATGAATGTGGAAACTCCAAAAATTAACTCAAAAAGTCCCCAAAACCCCCCAAAAAATAAATAAACCTTTCAAATTCATAATCACTGGATAAACAAATAGACACATTTTCCATTTCCAAAAGATTTAAAAGTTGTTTTAATATCTTCAAATGATTTTCTGTTCGTTTCTACAAAATTATTTGAATTTAAAAAAAATTAAAAAAAAACCTTCAAATCCTGCCATGGACATTTTAATTTATCAAGAAAAGCATCCAAATCAGAAATTAAAATTGTACATTGAAAACCTTTTTGACAAAGAATTTTCAATTGAACAAGAGAATAAATATGTGCTAAAGTAAAATTTCCTTTTGGTGAACATCTCCACAAAATTTTTAAAGGACATGATTGCTCTACTGATGAATCCATGTTAAATATTAAAGAAGATTGAGTAATAGTTTTTGACGGAATAAACTTTAAAAAAGTGAAAAGTGTTTGAGAAAAATGCTTGAGAAAAAAATCCGCAAACTTTTTCAGGTAAATTTAAAATTAAAAATACATAAAACTCAGAATTTTACGAAGACTAAAAAAATATGAAAATAAAATTAGCAGGAAAGGAGACGGGGGTTTGAACAAAAAAGTTGACAAATATTTATTTCAGCTAAGGTGAAAATTAAACAATCCCCATCAACCTAAGTTTATATTAAACAAAAGCAAAAAATTGCGGACAAAAAATCAATAAAATATTTAAAAAACCTCAAATTTATCACCAAAAGTACCAAAATCAGAAATAATTTTTTCTTCCATTTTATTTACACAAAGTTTACTAAAATCATCATTATTAACAAAGACCTTCGGGTAAGCTTTAGAAAGTATTTCTTTAAATTCTGGAGAATTAAAACAATTTTCTTGTACTTAAAAGAATTCAATTAATTAAAAAAATTAATTTTTAACAAAAAACCTTTTGCAAGAATTCCATTCAAAAATTGTTTAAGATAATTTTTTAGTTCATCTTCTTTAATTAATTCTTCTTTAAATGCTTTTTGAAGACTCGGAAAATCACAAAATTGTTGGTTATTCATTATAATACTCTAAAAAATAATTTTTTCTCAATTTAAAATACTCAACAAACCTCTCCAATAATTGGAAAAACAACATGCTGATAAAATGCTAGAACACCATTGTCAATACCAGATT